AGAACTGAGTTCATGCAATGAGATGCCCAGATATCTCCACAGCAGGGCCAAGATGCTAACCCGAATCCTGGGTTGTCCTGTCACAGACCAGCGGCTCCTGTGCAGAGAATTAATTCAAGGCAGTCAGAAGAAAGGAAGGATGAACTGGAAGGAAGCTTAGAGAAGACAAAGGAGGAAGATCATAGAACAAAGAGTGTACCGAGAAGCAAGAAAGTGAAGAGGAAGGTGATGTAGCAAGAGAGATAAAGCAGAGAACATCCTGTGGACTGAGACCTTGAACACGCAACTTTTATGCTAGCGCACGCCTTTGCTCCCAGCATCTAGGAGGCAGAGGCCGGCAGATCCCTGAAAGTTCAAAACCAGCCTGGTCTACATAATGAGTTCCTGGACAGCCAGGGCCACATAGTGAGACCCTACCTTAAAAAAAAAAAAGAAAAAAAAGAAACTTTTATGACCAACTTCTAGCTGGCTATAAAAATGGAGTGAAAATCTACCCTCTGAAATCTCGCAGCCTAGAAGACAGTAGAACAGTCACCAGAGTTACGACAGCAGCCATAGAGAATAAATCACGTGGAAGGGGCAGCTGGGCCCTTCTGCTGTGGAAGGAACCTCACAGAAACACCTGCATCCACGTCAGTTCTGAGCCCAAAGGGGCATGTGCATTTTTTCGAGCTATGGTTTTTCTAAAACTCTCAGAAAACAACGGCTCTTGCTTCTAATCCCACTGTTGCTGTAGATTTTGACTTAAGTGACGCTAAAGTCTCTTCTGAATGAACCCTATTTGTAAACATTAGCTCTCTTTGCACAAAGCGGGGGGGGGGGTTAAAATGTTATCCATGAAAACAATAAAGTAGAAGTAAGCACCAATGACTCAAGTTTATGGGGGGAAAAAAAGAGCAACAACAAAAATCCCAGCATTCCCAGAGTGCCCTTGCCTCCTCATAAAGACTCCCTGGCTTGGAGATGTAGCTCAGTTGGGAGGGTACTCGGCCAGCATGCGTGTGGCCCTGGGTTTGATCCCCAGAAGCACATAAAAGCAGCACAATGGTGTTGTGGACCTATAATCTCAGCCCCTGAGGGGCAGAGACTGGAGAACACAGACTGAAGGCTATCCTGTGCTACGTAGCAAGTCTGAGCCCCATGGAGCTTCATGAGACCCTGTCCCAAACGTGCCAAGAGGAAGCTCCCTTTATGTACAAATAAGTGCATGTTTGTAAAACCCAGGAAGAAGGCGAAGGAAGACCACACACAACCTCAACAAGCAAAATGACTACATGAAGGTCCACGGGACCCACAGAAATCATCGCAGTGGCTCCTCCTCTCCCCAAGGCTGTAATTTCCCACAGCCAGAAGAGGAAGGGAGGCGTGTCAGGGAGCAGGTGCTTGCTTCAAAGAGAAAACACTTAGGGAGATGGGAGGAGTGCAACTAAACTAGTAACACGTGGAAATCCGTAACGAAATCTCTTACCTTATCAACTAATCAAACCATTAAGAACAAATCGGAATGGAGGTACCTCCTCTCAGAAGCCATAGGTTACTAAATGTAAACTCCACGGCCGGGAGTGGGCCCATCTCTCTACAAGCTGCTAGTGGGGGAAGACCCTGAGACACCCCCCAAAGAAAACACAATACCAGTAAATCGCCATTCGCAGCCTATCAGACCTGGAGAGTGAGACCTGTTGCCGAAGATGACATACACTGGAGTTGCTGGACATGGGAAAAAAAAAAAAAACAACAACAAGCCGCAGCTGGGCTGGAAGCTTCCTCCTTGCCAGCTAGCCCTCAAGGAGCAGGAAGGTGCTATGCAGGCTGCTGGGAGTATTCAGCTGCGGGCTCCACGTGCACCAATACTGACTTGCCAGGCAAGATGAAGCGACAGGGCAACAGGGGCAAGGCTGATATGAGGGTAACCAATGCTCTCTGGCTGCACTGGAGGCCTTCTCCAAAGGAGGGAACTGACATCTGGTTCCACAAACCCAGTCAAAAGCTTGTGCTGGTAACGGCTGTGCGCCCTAGCGGGCGAAGCTACTGCTGCTGCTTTGCTGGGCACGATGTGCCTTTCGGACAGCCTTCTAAACCACTAGACTTACGTCCACAGAACAGTGCAGTGCAGCGGTCAGTGGACAAGCAGGGAGAGCAATCTGTAACACCGGCTTCTAAGCAGGCCATGGTTGCCGCAGCTTTGGACTCCCGGAGTGTAGTTACCTGCACAAGTCCAGGCTTGGCCAACACCTTATCACAGAGGGGAAGGGCTCGCACGTCCTGCCCTTCCCTAAGGATTTACATACAATTAACAGTGGTTAGGGGAAAGAGGGACACCCTCTTCAGTGTCATAGAAACTGGGAAAGGGCACACGCTTTGGTAAACAAACCTGATGAAATTCATTGATCGGGTCGTCATCATCATCATCATCCAAAAAAAAAAAGACAGGAAGTAAAAGGGAGGCTAGATGAGAAGAGGAAATAGGTTGGTGAGAGTAGAAAGAGGGCAAGGGAAGGCAATTCGAGTGACTATGATCGACATATGTTATATACATGTATGAAAATGGCATGATCAGACCGGTTGTTACATGTAATTAGTACATGCTAATAAAAATTAAAAAATAAGTGTGCCCAAAAGTTGCTCCAAGCTTATAATTTCCCAAAGCAAGGCAAAAAAGTGGAGTGTGTCGAGGTGTAGGTTCTTGCTGCAAAGACAAAAAAAAACAAAACAAAAAAAAACACCACATCCAATCGAAAGAAACATATCATCAACGTGGAGCTGATTCTGTTTGGCCAATGCTATGGTCACCCCAACCCCTTCATGAAAACACAAAGGGTGGTGTGGAGAGCTTGCTAGCCCAACTGGCAGCCAAGGGCGGGGGAAGCTGCATGAGGTTGAAGGCTCAGCATCTCCTGACCAAGCGCACAGTCGGATTTGGAGAACCGGCCCTTCGCAGTCTCAGAGGGCTCCTGACCGGAGGAGATCTGCAGCTCTAACATTCAGCTCATACAGACTAAGGCACCCTGGTGAAAGACCAAAGCCGGATGCTAGATGGGGGTGGGGGGCTGGGATTAGCACGGCAGGCAAGTGGCAACCCGGAAGGAGCAACCCGACTTTGCGGCCTCCCTCCTTGCACACCATTGCCTGAGGAGGCAGAAGCTGTGTGGGGGAGATCAGACTGAGACATGCTCCTTCCTCCGCCTGTGTTCTGCAATGCTTCATTTTCTCGGGATACGGGAACCTGCATGATCCCAGGGCAATATTGCCACAGGTTAGCGTAATCACAAAAGCCTTTGGGATCCTTTCTGGGATGTGGGTGTATGCTTTGAAAGCGACTTCTCATCTAGCATTACAAAGTACACCGGCACCTGAACGTTCAAAATCACTGCTATTCTAACACCAAAAAAAGCTGATTGGAAAAAAAAAAAAAAAAAAAAAAACTGTGGGAGACAGAGGTAATACTCCCCAGGGAAGTAACAGTTGGCAGGGCCACAAGCCAACACAGCCAGATCAGCAATGGGCAATTTAAGGACCCGGTGGCAACCTTTCAATACTGTTTCATTTTTAATAGCAAATGTCACCCTTACCACATTCAGTCCCTCCAAAGACAATGCCTTTTAAACAGGTTATCTTCTGTGCAGTTGAGAACAGGCCTTTAGGAGCTCAGTTTGGAAGATACTAAATAAAACAAATGGATTCTGGCTTGATGAATGAGCACAAGTTGTTAAGCAGGACAAGAAAGCGATTTGTTTTGCTTGGTACAAAACTGCTTCATTTTACAGCGGGAAGAAGGTACCTAAGGGAGAGTCGTCTCTCCTAATTGGATTTTCACAGATACAGCAACTGAAATTGTTTCTTTGAGGAGTGTCATAACACACAGAGATCTTGCGGCTATCTCGTGTAATTCCAGCCGTGAAGAGGGCGGTAGGCAGGAAGCTTCCCTGAGCAAGGGGCCCTTTCTCACAAAGCTGTCAAGGCTCTTATTCCACAGGCTTTGGAGTCACAGGGCAGACTATTCTGTCTCTCCTCAGCACAAGGTTCCCAAGCACTAAAGTATGATCTTGGGACTGGCCGAACTTCTTAATCTCACAGGAAAGAGCAAGCAGGCCTGAAATCCGCAGTAGGTGAAACAGGCTTCCCTTTCTTCCCTCCTCTTCCCTTCTCCTCCCCTCCCCCTCTCAGCATCACTGATATTTCAGTACTAGATGTGTTGTCTTTTGCTGTCATGTCTGCCTTCCATACTGGAGAATGCTTAGCATCAACTCTGGTCAGTAGCATCTCCCCCACCTGAATGTGACAAAACTAAATGTCTCTGAACACAACGAAACGTCCTCTGAAAGGGCAAAGCTCTCCCAGTTGAGAACCACTGGGTTTGAAATCAACATGACCAACAATCAAATCTCTCTGATGCCTGGCCTGGTGGTGTTCCCGCAGCTCATGAATACCTGCTGTTTTTAAGTAACCGGTTTGGCACTAGGGAGATGTGATCAACGCATTAAGCTAACACTAATGCTGATTACGTGTCAACCGAGCTTACGAGCAAGCTCTTAAAAGCAGAGTCCTCCAAAGACAGACTAAACACGCCAGCCTGTTACACCTCGTGTGACTGGAAACTCATGTAGATGCAGAGAAGCGACGACTGACAGAACCCCTAAGACGATGAGCCTCCTTTTGGGGCTGGATAAGACAAAGAAACATCAAATCCAGAGGCACTTCAAGGAGAATCTCCATACAAATGGCAAACTCTTCCCCATTTGAGGTAAATTCAACATACATTAGGCCCTAACTGTAGAGGTATCTTTTAAAAAACAAGAGTGCACTTAACTATCAAGTCATTTAACGATCTTTCCCTAGAGATACAAAACTCACAAGGCAGAGGTTTCCTAAATTAGTGATGCAGAACAGCGGCCTTTGGACCACCGAGATGGCGTGCTCATGACTGAAAGCACATGAGCCTCTGCCGCCGGCGACAGCCCCTGACGGCAGAGTTCCAGGGACGTACAGTGTTTGGGTGTTACCTGTTTCTCTTCTTCCGGTGTTCTCTGTTAGAATTTTCTGACTCACTACCACTGCTTGTGTTACAGCGTGAGCGAGACCTGGAGACAAAAGAAAAAAAAAATACGGCAAATTATAGAAAAGTTAATCAGATACTCTAGAAGAAATTTTGTAGGGAAAAAAACTCACTAATCCAAATACAAAGGGCCATATTATCCCTTTCCCAGTAAGAGGTATTTCTGGACTCGGTCAAACATCTGAGCTAAGTCTAAAGCTCAAAGAAAGGGCGAGGCAAGAGGAAGAGGAGAGCACACTAAGGGAAATGCAGGGGTCTCAGAAAGGACTCGAAGACCCATCGTGCCTAACAAAACAACGTGGCAAAGCTAAAACACGCATGGAAGACAAAACAGGGATGCTAAGTGTCATCTTTCCCACCAAGCCCTCGCAGGGGCAGGTAGACCTTACTGCCTCCGCTTTGAATTTGGATGGATCTTGTGACAGTTTTCACCAACAGAATAAGATGTTGGGGACAGCCTGCATGTTCCGAGGCTAGCCCACAAGGCCATTCATTTCTGCTGCCTTCTAGCCACCCTCTAAAGAAGCCTGTGCCTCCAACCATCCTTTCAGGATGCTACGTGACAGAAGCCCCTTGGATGACACAGCATCAGCTACCACCTGACCTCTGCCTGTTCGGTCCACGTGGACACACACACTGCGCTTGTTGTTGCTTTAAGCCAAGTGGTGGAGGGGTTTAGAATATGGCAGGGCATAGCTTGAGACAGCCGCAGAGGCACAAAGGGAACGGGAAATAAAAAGAAAATGTCAAGGGTCAGGACAGAGTGAAAGACTGAAACACGATTGAAACTGGAGTGAAAACATGAAGACTGGAGATACAGTCATAAGGCAGCCACGGCAGAGAGGAAAACGTCTCCGCTCCTGTCTCAACTGCGAGCATCCTCCCCCTCTTTGACTTATCCCTTTGCTTTCTTACCTCCTCCTTTGCTTTAGATCTGAGTCCTCGCCACTGTTGTGAGTTTTCCTGAGGAAGACAAAAGAAGAAATTTCAGAAAGCAGCATTCTGTACAGCTGAGGAAGCACACGGTTTCACATCAACCAAGATAGATGCCTGCTATCTTGGTTTACTTGCTCCACATCTATGTCATGTGTACACGTCCAGCCCTGTGGCAGGTCCCAGAGACACAGCACTCCACCAGCCGGCTCCAAGAACCCAGTCATCTAGGGCGAGCCTGTGGTCTATGCCACACTGGCTAAGCTACATTCATCCAACAACGGGGTTAGCCGGTGGCTTCAAGGCCTGTAATCCTCTAAGCCAATTTTCAGCTGATTCTGGCTTTTACTGGGATGCACTTTCAGCATCCTGGCCTTGAATTCCTTATCTCTTCTATGATAACCTCATCCACCTACACCTTCATTAAGCTTTGACCTTTATTATCTCTAACCATCTCCAACACATCGCTTTCTCCCCACAACTTCCTCTACTTTCTTTTACCTTTAAGCACTTATACTAGGGCTAAAAAAAAAAAAAAATGCAGGCACTGAAGTCAGACCACCAGGCCACGTAGACAGGAATCCCATCTTCCCCACTGAAGAGCTTTGTGACTCAAGTTACTCCTTTTAGTGGCTCAGTGTTTTGTTTTATTTTTAAAATTTTTACGTATATGAGTGTTTTGCCTACATGCATGCCTGCATACCATGCATGAGCCTGGTGCCCTCAAGGGCCAGAAGAATGCGTTGAGTCCCCTGGAACTGGAGTTACAGACCACTGCTTGGGTATTAGGAATCAGAGCTGGGTCCCGAAAGAGCACCAGTGTTCTTAACCACTGAGCCACCTCTCCCAACCAAAGTCTCAGTTTTAATAGAACCTCCCATAAACAGTTACAAGGAGGAAGGAAATGGGGCTGGAGAGATGGTGCAGCTGGCAAGGGCATGCACTGCTTTTGCAGAAGACCTGAAATCCATTTATCCAGGCTGCTACAATGATCCATACAAGGGCTACCGGGGACACGGGATGATGATAGCCCTGAAGAGCCAAGGAATCATCTAAAACTGATAGATTCACTGAAGCACCGAACGTCAGATGAGAGAGCAAGGGATTACAGCTAAGTTCACGGTTCATTACCTGAGAACTGAAATGAGGCGGCCACCTTCTTATCGGAGGGATGTGAGGGAGGATTAGATTTGAAGAAGATGATGGGTTCCATTTATAAGCCTGAGCCTATCTTAGACACAGAAATATCATATCCAGAGGTTCCTCAAGGAGGAATCTCCACACAAATGGCAAAGCCCTCAGCTCACCTTCGCCTCATTGGCTGCGTGGAGTCATTGTCACTGCCGCACGAGAGGTTACGCTGCCGGGTACAGGGAAACTTTGGAGACTTGGTGCGGTCACTGGAAGAGTTGTAGAGTCCACTGGAGTGAGAGAAATAATTCATGTATCAGCTTTGGGAGTTTTCACAAGTCGAGTGTGGAGTATTAGCATTAATGCCATTTTGGATATTTTTTTTTCCCCAGAAATATATCCTTAGTCTAGAACAGGAAGGTTCTCAACCTTCCTAATGCTGTGACCCTTTAATACAGTTCCTCATGTTGTGATGACCCCCAACCATAAAATGATCCATTGCTACTTCATAACTGCACTTTTGCTACTGTTATGAATTGTAATGTAAATATCTGATCTGCAGGATGTCTGATAAGTGACCCCAAAGGAGCTGTAGCAACCCACAGGTAGAAAACCCCTGCTCTAAACCATCACAGGAGCCTTGTAGGTGATTTCTTTATACACACTGGCTTTCCTTTCTGTCGTTCTGAAAGGTTTCACGTTAGGAAACCTGCTAGTGACTCCCGCTTCTGCATTTCTGGAAGCCAGAGGGCAGTTAGCTTCCTCGACTGGGTAACTGTGACAGGTCCTTTGCTGCCTTTCTCTCCAGAGACAGTGAGTCAGACTCCGTACCTCTGGGGTCCATTGTCTTCCCAGGGTGCATGAGATTTGCTTCTTTGGGTGTCAGGGCTGTTTTCATTCTTTGCTTTCTTAAAACTTTAATAATAAAGAATAGAAAAAAAATAGTTTCTTCAGAAGAAAGCACATTATGATGCATATATACATGTATTTCCTTGCTTATGGCTGTGACTCATTCCAAAAAAAGAACCCAAGATGGCTGATTAATAAACGCATTTCTCCAGTAAGCGCTTTCACATGTCCTCCCTGCTTTCTGTGGAGCGAAGCCAAGCTGAGCAATTGTTAAGAAACTTCTTTCTAAAGACTCTACCCTCGTGGGGAAGAGTCTTTAGACTCTTGTTTTAGAAACGCCTAGGGAAACAGAAGAGACCAGCAGAAGGGCCTGGGGGTCGCTGCTCACGTCCTCTGGAATCTTAGCTTGCAGAGAAAAAGAGATTCGTAGCTGTTAATACACCTTTAACCCTGGCCTTAGAGGGATCTGGGTGGTTGTTACAGAATATGGCTGTAGCAGAATTCTTAGTAATAGCAACCAAGAAAGGGGAAAGTGACAAGAGTGTTGCAAAAACAAAAGAAACCAACTTCTGTTGGGACACTCATCTGAGTGAGCCAAAACTAAAGATGTGTGGAAAAGCCTCATGCAAAACTACTACTTAGTAAGTTAACTTAAAAATATAATTTAAGTTGGGGTACAGCGGCAAATGCATTTAATCCCAGCACTTGGAAGGAGGAGAGAGTCAAATGGATCTCTGAACTTGGGGCAAGGCTGGTCTACAAAGGTAGTACCTGTATATTATGTTATATATAAACACATTTGAATTGTACATAAATATGTACATTTTTAAAGGGAATTTAAATGGAGTATTCTGTGTAAATGACGGTACTTTCCCCAGAAGCCATGGGTTATAAGGTAAAGATCTCAGCATTAGGTGTAGGAGACCTTCCTATGAATTTTGATCAGAGGCACCCAAAACAACACTGCTCTTAGTTGTCTACCATAACTAGACAAAAAGACCCCACTGCCGGAGAAAACAGCACTATCCAATTGCACAGCATACAGAAATCAAGCTAGGACTGGTTTGAAACCTTTATCCATGCTGCCAGCTTTCATGGTGCTCAGAGTCGCTGTGCAGGCCCCTGAGGAGGAAGGCCGGCCGGGGATCTCCTCAGGAGTGTTTTGTGCTCTGTAATCCTGACCTGCCAGGCAACATGTGCTCCGCAGGTATAATAATGGCATGACTGCTAACGGGGCTAACCAACTGCCCCAGGAGAGAAGACTTGCCCAGTGAGGGGGTGGAGGAGAAAGGGGAGAGGAGGAAGGAAAGGGTCCTCAGGAAAAGAAGCAATAACCTCCACCGAGTAGAGAAAGGAAGAAAGCCGAAAAGGAAGAGAGCCCGGGTGCAGTAGTTTGAATCAGACAGGCCCACATAGGCTCATGGGTTTCAATACTTAGTTCCCAGTTGGTAGAACTGTTTGGGGAGAATTAGGTGTGACCTGTTTGGAGAAGGTGTGTTACTGGTGCACGGAGGTTTCAAAAGCCCATGCTGTTCCCAGTCAGTACTCTCTGCCTCCTGCTCCTGGACGAGAAGCAACCTCTTAGCTACTGCTCCACGGCCAGGCCTGCTGGCCTGCTGCTGGCTTTCCACCACGATGATAGTCGCTGACTCTAATCCTCTGGAACTATAAGCCACAAACTCACTGTTTTCTTGTGAGTCCCAGATTAAATGCTTTCTTTCATAGGATACCTTGGTTGTGGTGTTTTGTCACAACAAGAGAAGTAACTAGGACACAGGGACATCCACTCACACGAGGCTGGCATTCTTTACAGCAGTGGCCAGGCACCCTGGCTCCAGGTTTGGCTCTGAAGCACTGAAAAGTTAACTCTGGACAAGGAACAGCCTAACCTATCTGACCTCTGTCCAGCTTCCGGATATCTTGGCTCCATCCTTCCGGATCAGAATGACTTTTGAATGCCATTTCCTTCTCCTATCATCTTTCTGCCCCGAGAATGTAAATATAACCGAGTTGTTACTCAAGCCCAACAAACTGTTTTAGAATCACCTAGGGAAACAGAAGAGACCAGCAGAAGGGCCTGGGGGTCACTGCTCACTTCCTCTGGAGTCTTAGCTTGCAGAGAAAAAGAGCTGCATAGCTGTTAATCCACCTTTAATCCTGGCCCCCAGAAGGATCTGGGTAGCTGTTACAGAACATGGCTGTAGCAGAATTCTTAGCAATGGCAACCAAGAAGGGCGGAGTGACAAGGGTGTCACAAAAACAAAGGAAACAAGCTTCTGTTGGGACATTATATCCATGTACCTGTAGAAGGTACATCCAACAAGGGCACACATACCAAAGGGCTAGTAGAGAGCGGGTATGTTTTCCACAGGTTCAATATACTGTCTAATGATTTAAAACTGAGACTTCAAAGATCAAATTTCCAAAGTAAATGCTTCCCTTTTGAAATGAGAAAAAGCAAAAATAAATAAATAAATAAATAAATGGAAATACAGTGAAGACTCAGTACAGTGCTATGAAGTGTATACGTTTACTAAGTCAGAAGGGGAAAGTGAGGAGGCAAGAAGGAAGACAGGGAAAGACAGAGAAATGAAAGGGCAATCTCAAGTAGATGATCGTTGAGGAATAATGAAATCCCAGCTTTCTTCTGTAAGCTTCTTCTCATCTGCAACCTGGCTGGGAAGTGGCCACCCTTCTGGTTTCAGGATTATTGGCAGCAGTGAGTTTCAAAGGGGACCGAGTTCCTTCTGAGAAAATCACTCTGCTTGTGCTGTCTATATCATGAGTGTGCCCTGTACATACAGGTGCCTCCACCCAGGACTGAGAGAGCAACTAGGAAAACACAGTTAAAGAAGACACATTCAAAGGTAAAGAACATGTCACTTCTAAAGGTTGATCTGTAAGGAGAACGCCCCAGAACTAAGGAAAACAGGCCAAAAAGTGTAGGTGAAACATCACAGCTCTGGAATGCTCCCCTCCCACCCCTCCACCCCCCGCCGCCGCCATCTCTAATTTTCTTACTAGGGAATTATGCTTTATTTCTCAAAGTCACCACAGACCTGTTGAATGAAGGCGCCATTATTAACTAACAAAAGATGGCTTAGAGGATGAGCTAAGGCCTCTCAGCAGGTCACACAGCTCTGACTGCTGGGCCTTCTCCATGATGCAAGTGGGGAGGCCGCCATAGTCAGAGTGAGTTCATGAAAGCTGCTCATTGTGCCTTGACAGGGCTGCTCCGTGGACATAACTGGAGACAGGAAAAAATTACTCCAGAACTCTCTTATCAGAGAACAAAGCTGATCTTTCAGGAACCAATTCCTATAACATTTTAAGAGGAGGTTTTTCCAGTGGGAATGCTGCTACTAGGAAAACTGATGCTGGGGACCATGACAGAATCCATATATACGAAATCTCCGAATGCTGAGGCGCTGGCACCTCTAAGGCTGCGAACCTCCTCTCAGGGCCACAGTTCAGTGAAACATTGTTAGGAACAGAGTACATTAAAGCAAGAGTATCGTCCCTTTACTTTGCCAGTCCCTTTGAGTTAGTCGGCTGTATCATGGCTTTAAGAACCACATGGAATTTTCAGTGTGCTGCTGAGTTGCAGACCATATACATTCTGTGACGTCTTCCACGGAGAACAGGTCCCGGTGTTTGCATTTTGCTGACATGATAACACATTCTTTGGCTCAGACACTATCTACTGGAGTCCCTAGGTTAAAAGTACTAATCAATTACCAAAGTGACAAGATTCTTAACCTTGCTAACAAGGGGAAGAATGTTTATGATGGCACATAACTGCACACACTCACCTTTTCACTGGGGAAGGTGCAATAATTTTAGTTGTTCCTTCATTCTCCCCATTTTCCATGTTTGCAGTTATCCGACTTATGTTGTTTGAGCCTAATAACAACAAATAAACAAACAGATAAATAAATGGCAAGATGAAAGGCAGAAGGAAAGGAGAAAGTGAGAAGTAAAACACAAAGACATATAATAATTATGTGTAAATGCAATTATAGGGCTGGGGTGATGGCTCAGCCAGTCAAGTAGGGGCCACGCAAGCACAGGGACCAGAGCTGGGTTCCCAGAACTGAGGTCAAAAAGCCAAACAATTGTGGCAGATACTTGTGATCCCAGTACTGGAGTGGTGGAGTCAAGCAGGTCCTGGAGGCTCCCCGGCCAGCCAGCGTGGCCTGTTGATGAGCCCCAAGTCCCACGGAGAGACCAATGTCAAAAACCAGGTACATCACCACCAAGACACAATACCCAACCTGTGGTTCTGGCTTCCACAAAACGTGCCCACTTTCTAACAAACAGACACACTCCTGCGCAAAAGGGAAGACAGAAAATGCAACGTCGGGTCATCTGTGGCCCATTTTAGTGATAGGCAATGACTCCAAACAGATGATCAGCCACTCAGTGAAACTGAGGTATTAACTATCAGACACAATACTACCCCAGGAGTCTTAAGCTATAACCTTTGATGAATATCAATTAGTAAGTCCTCATATCGTGGACTTTCTTTAAAACTTCAACTCTGAAAATAAGATTCTAAGATATTCAATACCACACTGAAACCTAAAATATTACCGGTTTTTTGAGAACAGTGCTGTAACGTCTTTCAGCCCGTCATGACTGGCCCCACTTGAAAGCACAGTGAAACTCCCCACAACTGAAACCTGTGAGGACATCCCCACTCAAGACGCAAACAGCAAGAAGAAAAAGATACACGTGCTATGGGCATTCATATGCAAAAAAAAAGTTTCAGATGTGTCTTTTAGAAAAGAAGCCTCAAAACCGAAAGATGAATTTTCAAGATTTTTCCGCCACTGATTTGCATACAGGCTAGAAGAGCCAGCAGAGGGAGCCCAGAGCAGACACTTTGCAGGGATTCCTCTTAGGTCCTCCCCTCAGGCCAGAGACCTGCAGAGGACAGGAAGCCCCTGTGTGGCCGTGGTGGTGGCTTTCTCCCAAGAGCACCTCACGAAGAGGAGACAATTCGGATGGGAACGGGCAGCCAGCCAACCCGTGGCAGGCAGGAGCACTTCCCCGGGGCTGTCCTTTGAGGGCATCTTCCCAGGTACGGCGAATCTAGTGCATCCTCATCACTACGTGCTAAGCGGTTGAGTTACAGAGATAACTGGGAAAAGTGACCGGCACTGATGTTTACTGCGCACAAGTTGTGTGTCGGGTACCGCTCTGCGAGGTCTGTGTGTGTTTACTCGTGTAACCCTCAAAATAGCTGGGGAAAGAAGACACCGACATCTAAAGATACCAACACGAGCCCTTGGGGCCCGAGAGACAGCTCGGTGGTTAAGAGCACTCCCTGCTCTTGCAGGACCTAGGTTTGGTTCCCAGCACCCACACAGTGGCTCACAACCACCTGTAACTCCAGTTCCACGGCATCTAATGTCGTCTTTTGACCTCTGTGGGCACCAGGCATGCATGTGATACACAGGCACACAAGCAGGTAAAACACTCTGTACATGTAAAATAACCTAAATCAGTCTAAAAGACACGAGCTCCCCAGGCGACCAGCTTGGACGAGCACCAGCCCAGCCACAGAGATGTAAATCTCCCCCGAGCCAACACGCCGGCCACTGCTTTCTGTCCACCACCTACAAACAGTGTGAGTCAATATCAAGTAAAGGCCACCGGGGGCAGGGGAGGGGAGAGAGAGAGAGAGAGAGAGAGAGAGAGAGAGAGAGAGAGAGAGGGACTGACTTGTCCACCTCGTTATTAAATTTGAGGAGAAAATGGTTAGAGGGAACTACACGAAAGTGATTAAGTAACTTGACTTCCGTGCCTCCCCTCCCCCGCCCGCCAAACAATTGGTTGTTAGACTAAGATTAGTGAGTCTGAGAGATGAGAGTCGGAGCAAGCCTGGGGACGCTGGGCACACAGCTCTGGCCTCCACCTTCACTCAGCTCTGTCTCAGCAGGTCTTAGCGGTAACAGGGGCTGTCACGTGACCTCCTCCTTCCGTTCAGAGGCAGCTGCTGTCCGTGCAGAATCAACTTGCCGAGATCTAGTTAGCTGCTTGATTTGGGGACAATTCTTCCGCCGCTGTGATGTCAAGATCTGATAATGCGCACACATGCATTTCCAACGACGAAAACACATTTATTTTTACTACCATAGGACTGTACACAATTCATAACTTGACACTTGTCAAACCACAGTCAACTCCCTGATGCTACTCAGTGTCGTTACTATCCATTTAGAGGTGGAATGGGTGGGCACATAACATTTAAATGAAAAAAAAAAAAAAAAAAAACAACAAGCCTTGTTTGGCAAGTGGGGAAAACATGTATAGGAAAACAAAAGGACGTTGAGCGTCTGAACAAAAGACTCTTGTGCCATACTAATAATGTCTTTTAAATGCCTTCAAATATCAATTTGTAAACTTAAAAAATATTTATTTTTATGTTCAATAAATGACTGGTTTGGCTGAATGTGGATATGCGCACATGTGCACGCTGCTGCCTGCAGAAGCCAAAAGAGGGAATCGCATCCCCGGGAACCGGAGTCTTGGACGGCTGTGAGCCACCGTGTGACGGCACAGCGCGAAACCTGTGTCCTCTGCAGACTTCTTCAATTGCTGAGTCTTCTCTCCAGAATGCCCCACCCCCAGTTTGTAAACCTTTATGTTTAATTTTATTTTACTTAATCCTGTTTTGTCCCTTTCCCTCACCTTTGATTAAAAAACCAACTATATACTAATATTTAAAGACAAAAAAAAAAAAAAAATCAGGAAACATCATGGCTGCTCCCAACACAAAAAATCCGAGGGTTTTAGTCAATCAACCACCTACCCCGGCACAACCTATCTGAGGAAATACTGTATTCACAAAGAAACTGAGCTAGCCGCTGGAATTGGTTCAGTTTTTTCCCCACCCTGACAGTACAAAGTCACTTTCCCTTAGCTGCATCAGCTTTTCCCTGAGTATTATAGGATAAAATGCCAAAGGAGAATAAATTAGTAAAATGAAAGATCCCTTTTCTATTTCCAGAGAGTACAGTCAAACACACACACACACACACACACACACACACAATGGTCCAGAAGAAAATTCTGTTCCCTATCACCATGGAAGATTTTCACCTGGCAGAACACAGCCTTACAAAACTATAAAACAAAAGCAAGTTTTAAAACACATGTGCCGGAAACTAGAAGTGCTTCTGCATCCGATGGCCGATTATTTAAAGTTCAAATTCCTGATGTCAGCTCATCCAGACAAAGGGGTCCCTGCTGCTCTCAGGAGTTTCTGCCTTCAAAGTCCCACGACAGCAGTTTAAGAGCATCTCCCTCCTCCCTATAGACTGTACTAACGTTTCAACATCGATTTGCTCCGTGTCAACTGCAAGATCAAACAAGGTGTCTGCTAACACGCTACAGGGAAGATTAAACTGATGGGAGTGGCCAGGAAAGCTGCTGGGAAAATACGTCAGTGAACAAAAGAACCTTTCAGAGTTCATCTCCTTGCACTTCCTCTTCCCCAGCCCTTCCTCTTCCCAGTGCCCAGCCTGGGTAGTCGGCTTCCATTCTTACTGGCACCATCAATTGGGGACGTGAGGTAGATTGGCACAAGGGCACCCCTTTCCCAGCCCTCCGCCAGAGCTACACAGATGCACACACACTGAGTCAGAGGCAGCTGAAGACATTCTTCTCTGCAGCTCAGGATGCCAGCTTCGAAAACAAGACATGGGGCCTTCACTCCCAGAGACTCGTGAGTTTGACTCTGGAGACCTGTAATCACACCAGTGTTGGACAGTCCACTGAAGCATCCCGTCCCTGGACCTTCAGGGCCCGAAGACAGGCCTTATCTCTGAATGGCTGGATGGAATCAAAAGTATCTCATGGACCCAGACACCAATTGTTTTTCCTGTGATTTGAGGACACAAATTGTGTGAGGGGAAGAAAGAGCTGGTCTCCAAATTCCTCAAGGCTCTGGATACCCCAAAAGTCCAACGGGACCCTACAACTGGGAGTAACGGATAGAAAATCTTCCCTGGCCGCCTTCTCTCAAACCCAGGGAGAGGAGCCACTCCACCTGCTTTGGTGGACAGCACTAGGCTCCTTACTGCTCTATGTAAGTAGATGTATACATATAACTGTATGTAAGGACTACCTTAAAATTTATTTTATTACATGTATGTACATGCACCATGTGTGTTCGGTGCCCATATAGACCGGAAGGTGGTGTCAGAGCCCCTGGAGGACATCAGTTGTGAGATGACTGATGTAGGTGCTGGGAATTGAACCCACGTCCTCCAGAAGTACAGCCAGTGCAATTAACCACTGAGCCGTCTCTTTATACACAAGGGTTACTGTAAAACAACAACAACAAAACCTTTTTATTGACTCTTTGTGAGAATCACAAAGAATGCACCCTAATCCCACTCATATTCTCATCCCGTCAACCTCCCCTTGCAACCTCCCCCTCAAAGGAAATTAAAAAAATAAAAATAAAAAACCCACAAAACAAATCACAAAAAACATCTCATCGTGGAAGCTGTAGTGTGTCACAGTATGTCCCACAGTATATATACCCTTTTGTCCATACATCTTTACTTGCAAATGTTCATTGCAATAAAGTCATTGGTCTGGTTGGAGGCTTCAAGCTTCGGCTACAGCATCAATACTGGATTCTCACCAGGACTCCTTTTGGATGCCCTGTTGTTGCCCTGTATCACGGAGATCCTGCAGCTTTGGATCTCTAGGACCAATCTTCTCACATGCTCAAGCAGTTCACAGATGAGGTAGATGTTGGGGTGTAGGCTGGGGGGTGGCTGAGTTGGTCAGGCCGTCAGCTCTCTCGAACCTGCACCATCAGGGTGAGCTCTCCAGCACTGCCCCGGCAAGCTCACCCAATGCTGCAGGCGGCAAGGGGCAGGGGC